GCCGTCCCGTTCGCCTGCGTCCCCACACCCCGGCGCGCTCGGTGCACAGCCTGACTTTGCGAGATTCTGGGAAGTTGAACCCGCCGCCATCTGGCGAAGGCGAATGTAATGTGACTGTTGCTGTTGTGAATATCCGATGCCACCGAACGTCCTCATAACTGGGGGTTATTTTAATTTGGGATTCCCCTCCCCTCCCCCAGTCCTCCCTCCTCCCCCTCCCGCTCCCGAAATAAAACCGAGGGGACCCAGAAGCCGAGGCTTCCCGCCTGGCCCACCCGCGCGCACCCAGGGCTCCTGCGTTCACATAGCCTTTAGGGTGGAGCAGGAACAGCCTGGACCCAAGCTGCGACCTTTAGGTAACGTGCTTTGAAGAAAGGAGGCCGGGGACCAGGCTGGTTTTCCTGTCCGCTCCAGGTTGGCAGTAGCCTCGCAATGGCAGAGCCTGTCTTTGAGTGTGTTGGTGTGCACCTCGCTGGTGTCGTCTGCGTGTTGTCAGTGATGTGTGACTGTTGTCCGTGCCCCGGAGTGTAACGACAGGTCAGGCGTGTGGCGAGCGTCCTCGGCGTCTGGGGCGGGGGCATGGCTGCATTTGCCCGCACGTTCTGCAGACCTTCGGGGACACTGGGGTTCTTGCCTGACCTCTGTCTTTTCCTCCCCTACACTCCTCACCTTAAAGTGCTTCCGCCTCACTAATCTTGGGTAACTGGTGAGGCAACAGGAAGGAACGGGATCTGACTCCTTGGAGCCAGGCCCTCGGGTCTCTCCGGGTGGGTCCACTCCCTGCGGACTTGCAGGCGGGGCGTGCCTGGTGGCTCCATCCCCTTCGCAAGAGCAGGACTTCTCCGCCTGCTCAGGCCAGTCCGAGGGGGGTTACAGTGTGGCATGTATCAGGTTGAGTAATACTCCGAAGGGAGGAGAAAGTTCTGATCGTAACTGTGTTGTAAATTGTGTGCTAGCAAGTACTCAGCCCCGTGCAAAGAGTAGCTGGATGCAACGTTTAATGAGTCCATTTTGGAGATTCATATCAGCCTTCCAAATAATATTGTAAGACCGAAGAATTCTGCTATCAACGTAAAACTTTTGGAAACGTGTTGGAAATGTAAAAATTTAGTGAACCAAGGGTGGGATTGAGTAGAGATGGGATGTGTGTGTCCTTTAAAAAGTTTGCTACCGTGGAAACAGAGCTTCAGAGGATTTTCTTCATTATGGGGTGCAGTGCTAGGGCTGTTCAGGACATGGGTCCTGCCAAGATAACAAGGAGGGCTTGTGTGTGTTCAGAAATACCAAACACACCAGTGACTTGCTAGAAGCTGAGAGGAGCCCCAGGCTGAAAAGGCAAAAAGTTTCAGATAGGCTTTTGTTTCCTTTTTCAGATGAAGTACACTATTGATTGATCAGTGATGTAAACACACACAGCTGCTTGAGTAAAACCCCTTTTAGAAAGGGGCTATGGGATGGGGAGGGGGCCACTGAGCCTGGCGGGGGTGGGGGGTGGTTAGAGCACGACTGGCGGCAACTTGAGGTTGGGACCACCCTCCAGCGCCTTGGGTGGAGGTGGCTCCAGCCCCGCATTGGTGCTCTCCTGGCCTCTCCCCCAAGAGTGTACATCAGCTCCTAGGATGCCCCCCTCCTGAGACTCCTCTCCCTTCACACTCACAGTCCCCCCTCACTGTCCCCTTCCCCACTGGGTGTCCGGGCACCCCTGGTGCTGCATCACTAGCTTGAGTCTTGGACTCCAGGTCAGTGCTCTTGACCACCGACTCTCACGTTTGGAGCTCATCAGTTTGGGTTGCTTTAAGATCCATACCTTTTCCCCTCCACCTATGCCAAGAAGCTCTTTAATATAAATAGTATATTGATATGTACAACTTGACCTCTAACTTCTACCTGGAAGCCCACAACAGAAAGAAAATGGAGCCAGTTTTCTGCCTGTTGGGAGGGGGCAGAACCTCTGCTTCCCCTCTCCCCTACTCTGCTGGCAAACCTGCTCCTATCCCCCAATTGTAGGAAGATCCTTTATTCTTGCACACAAGGTCAGCGGAGGTGGCATTTTACGGTCTCTCTCTCTCTCTCTCTCTCTCTCTCTCTTTAAGAATAGAGGCTTAATAATTCACTGAAGGTTAGTTCATCTTAATTCTAGGCCAAATCTCCCCAGAACAGTGTTAATTACATGAAAATTTTATGCATGCGCTTCTCCTTTTTATCATGATAAAACTGCTCTGGAATGAATAGATTAATCCCAAATTTACTTATTTGGAAAGGTGTGTGGAGGTCTGACTTTTTCTTTCACTTGAACCACTTACACATCTCATAACATTTCAACAGAAAATACAGATTCTTTCTTCGCAGGGAGGGAAGTGCTTTTAAGCTCCACAACCATTAGAATAATCAAGTTCACCATTTAGGAAAGGTGTGAGAAGGGTACATAAACTCCCCATAGACCTACAATTGATGTTCCTTTCTACAGTTCTCACCTTCCTGTTTCATACATCGGAGGACAACTTCAATGTCCTGTCCATTACCGGATCTCAGAAAAGAAAAAGAAAGCGAGTAAGACTCCCTCCGGTGAAGTCAGTTTGAGCGCTATTTTTAGCATTTTTAGTACCATAATGACACATTTCGTTTCTAAATATTTCTAACGATTTTCTGCTCCTGTGTAAGAAAATGGGGCTGAGTTTGCGGGGAGGGAAAAGAGAAGGGGGAGGGGATGGGGAAGGCGTTTTTTGATAAAGGGTTTGTTGCTCACGGGAGGGGAACAGTAGTATTTCTTCGGATTTTCCAGGCCAAATTGTTTTTTCTTTTTCTTTCTTTTTTTTTTCTTCTTGTTATTTATTTACTTTTAAAATAAGTAGCTGGTTTGGACGACTTTGTCTCCCAGTATTGAAGGCATTTGCTTCGGACTAGAGTCTTCGCCTTGGGTTTTGTTCAGAGAAAGCGTCCCCCTCTGCCCCGAAGGACTGCCCTGTTTCACAATAAACATGACGAAGGGGCTCAGCACTTTTTAATATAAATAAACGGGCGACTCTAGAAGGGTCTATATTGGGGGGAAGCCCACCTCGTCCTGAGGTTTCTCGACATTATTCTTTTGAGTGGATCCTGCCGTCGGGTCGCTGGAACCCTCATTAAAAGCACATATTTTAAATTAAAGGGGCACAAGCGAGCCTCCCAGCGCGCGCATCCTTCCCAGTGGTCTTTCCCCTCTCGCTCCCCCTTCCTGTCCCCTGCTCCCGACCCGGGCCCCCCTGTTCCATGGCGCCGCTGCTCTTGAACTTGCTTCTGGTGAAGTGGAGCTCAAGGGCTCCAGACCCCCCAGGCAGCTCTTCCCAACGCCCAGATAAGGACCTAGGCGCATCCGGGCCCTGGCGGGTCCCCGCCACCCTGGGAGGCCTCGAAGCGTCAACACAGGGGTCTGGGGAAAGGTGGGGGCCACGCCAGAGGCCGGGAGACACTGGAAAGGGCGAGGTTTGGGGAATCTGGATTCGCCACCAGCCCGAGATTCCTTCACCACTATGCAGGCGATTTAGAAGACGACAGGGCGGTTGGGAGGAGGGGGGGTCACGAAATATGGGGGTGTCTAGGAAGCCAAGGTCACGGTCCAGCCTCTAGCGGGTCTCTGTCCACGGGCTTTGCGCCTAGCCACGCAGGGTGCTCAGGGCTACCCCAGAACTTGACCTGCCCTGGGCTGGAGCGCCATGGTGAGCGCGCCCGCAGGACCCCTGCCTGCCCCTGAGGCCGAGGTCCCGGGTGCGGACCTGGGCCACGGCCCCTCACCCCAGCGCTGGCAGCACTGCCCCAGCCGGTCCTGGAGTGGGAGACGGTGATCCTGCCTCTAGTTGATGGCGGTGGAGAAGCCACGCGGGACCAGAGGGTCGGGCAGTCAGAGGCGGCCCTCAAGTCCAAAGGAGGCTGCCGGGGAGCACTGACTGCTGGCACCCAGCGGGCAGACCCTGGCGCACCAGGGGGCTTCCGGGGAGACGGAGACCGGAGGCCACCTGGACGGGGCGTGCGGTGAGCCTGCGGGTGTCCTTCCCTGCTCTGGGGCGCGCCAGACGCAACCGCAACCTCTGACTTGATGTTTTAGGCAAAGCCCCCATGGAAAACTCAAGCTTCTGCTGATCGAAGGCAGCCACCCCAGCTCCCAGCAACGCCCCACTGCCCCCTCCCCCACCGCCACCACCACGCACACACTTGGCCCTCTGTCCCCTTGGCGTGCGTGCCCTCTCTCTCTGCGTTTCTCCTGATAACGTGCGCTGCTGGGTTTCCCACCTCTCCTCTTGGAAGCGGTAAACCACAGCCTGGGGAGGAGAGGAGCTGGGGCTGAGTCCTCCTCCAGCACCGCTTTTCTGCTCACGGATCCTAGGTGGGGTGTGGGGAGGGACCCGAGGGGCCGGCCAGCACCGTGGAGTCCCTCCGAGTCCTAGGCGGGGTCTCCCCACACAGGAAAGGCGCCTCTCCAGCTGAGACTGTGGAAACGCCAGAGGGACCAGACTGAGGGGGCTGGGAAGGGTTAATCGCGGACTCCCCACTTCTCAAGCAAACCTCACTTCACTTTCACCGCGGGAAGCCTTCCCGGAGTTTGCCTTACAGCCTAGGCTGGGTCTCGGAGAGGCGCTGCAGCTGGGCTGGGCCCCGGCTGCTTCTAGGAAGAAGGCAGCTGGCTCTGCTCTGGGGAAGCTGGCCCTTTTTACAAAGACGGGGCCTTGAGAACTGAGTAAATTTCAAGGAGAGCGAGAGCAGCCTCCCCCTCCTCCCCAAATAGAATACAAGCATCTTGGCATTAAGTGCCAAATGGGAAACCTGCAGAAACCATTTCCCCATTTCTCATTACTGCATATCCTTTATGGGAATGGAATTCTGTGGCTCTTAGAACTCAGGGAGGCTGTGTGGTATGCTAACTTCTGAAAGCTGCCCGATGAGCTAGAAAGAAACGGTTTCCTGCTTTCTTTCTACAATATGCAGAGAGCTCGCAGTACTGTAGATACACAAGGCAGAAGCATCAGGGAGCATTTTTAAGGGCAAAGTATTACCGACAGACCTGTGGAAGTGGATCCTGGCACAGAGCAGTTTTGGTTTATTAAGTTAAATTAAAAGTGAATTATTTTAAAATGACCTACTTACCAGCTTTGCTCCTGCCACCAGATCACACCATCCTTTCAGTTCATTACAGGTGGAAATGACATTTTTAGGATCCTCCATTATGTGCCTAAGCCACCTCCTGACATTCTTAGTTGACGACTTTTTTTCCCCCCTTATGTATCAGGATATTTCTGTTATGAGGTATACTTAGATGAAAAAAAGCTGGTAAAAGTACTGGCCTCGCAATTAAATTGACTCTGGATACCAAAGTGAAACTAATCATCTGGCATTAATCAACTTATGTCTCTGCTTCTTGTTGAGGGAAAATAGAGTGACGATATGCTTTCCTTTTCATCTGAAAAGGACTGTAAAATGTCGAATGTTCCATAAAATCTCTCTCCCCTTATGAGACAATTTTTGCTCAATTAATCAAAGTGCATATTTTCACACTGGACATCGTTACATCAGAAAGAAAATTTGCTGCAGCCACTCTAACGATGTTTTGAAACCACCCCTGCAGTAATGACCTTGCACATTCCATCAATCTTTAATAATATCATTGTCATTACTATTATTATCTGAAGTGTTAAATTGTGGCCAAAATCAATACTAGTGTACTTGGTTGAATATATTTTATCCCAGTGTTGTTTTTAACATCTTTGTTAAGAGGCCAATTAATTTCCAACTCAGCTCCAGTGAAGTTTGTGGATAAGAAGGCTTCCTGACATATTTGTGGGTGTGTTTTGTTTTTTTTTTTTATTTATTTCTCCTTTTGAAAGAAAGAGGAGGGAAGTAAATGACATTTGAAATAAATAACTTGATGTTTTAAAGTGATTGAAATTATTTCTAAACTGATGACAGCAAAACTCTGGTGGCAAATCACTGTTGAACTAAATACTCATTTAATTTCTTTTCCTCCACTGGATATCAGGACTGGTTTTTTCATATTCTATCAGAATGTATGGCTTAGCCAGCCCCCCACAGTCACCGAATTAGAGGGATTTTTTGAAGTGGACTATAAAGGCCTTGAGAACAAAACACCTTAATATATTTTTGTGATTGTTTTCTTCTAGATTTGTCGGTGTTAATGCATCTGACATCAACTACTCAGCAGGACGATACGACCCTTCAGTCAAGACCCCCTTCGATGTAGGTTTTGAAGGTGTGGGTGAGGTGGTCGCCTTGGGCCTCTCCGCCAGTGCCAGGTACACAGTTGGCCAGACTGTAGCTTACATGTCACCGGGCTCTTTTGCTGAGTACACAGTGGTGCCGGCCAGCATTGCCACTCCAGTGCCCTCTGCCACACCCGAGTACCTCACCCTGCTTGTAAGTGGTACCACCGCATACATCTGCCTGAAAGAGCTCGGCGGGCTGAAGGAAGGGAAGAAAGTGCTGGTGACGGCAGCGGCTGGGGGGACAGGCCAGTTTGCCGTGCAGCTTGCAAAGAAGGCCGGGTGCCACGTCATCGGAACCTGCTCTTCTGATGAGAAGTCTGCTTTCCTGAAGTCTGTCGGCTGCGATCATCCCATCAACTATAACACTGAGCACGTGGGTACCGTCCTGAAGCGAGAGTACCCCGGAGGCGTGGATGTGGTCTATGAATCCGTGGGGGGTGCCATGTTTGACTTGGCGGTAGATGCCTTGGCCACCAAAGGGCGCCTGATAGTAATTGGGTTTATCTCTGGCTACCAAACTCCTACTGGCCTTTCGCCTGTGAACGCAGGAACATTACCCGCCAAACTGCTGAGGAAATCCGCCAGCATCCAGGGCTTCTTTCTAAACCATTACCTTTCTGAGTACAGAGCATCCATGGACCACTTGGTCAAGATGTGTACCAGTGGAGACCTCGTGTGCCAGGTGGACCTGGGTGACCTGTCCACAGAGGGCAGGTTTACTGGCCTGGAGTCCGTGTTCCGGGCTGTCGATTACATGTACATGGGGAAAAACACGGGGAAGATTGTAGTTGAATTACCTCACCCTGTCAACAGCAAGCTGTAAAAACCGAACAATGGCATAAATCAGAAGAGAAAGGAAGTGGGTACTTGATGCTTCAGAATCACTCAAATCAATTTATTTTCAGTCATTAATGGAGATAATATTTCTTAAAATGAAAGTAAGTTGTTACAACATAGGTTTCTCTTTTTCTTCCCTTTTTTCTTTTTTTATCCCTCTCTTGAAAAAAAAAAGTGCTAATAAAACTTCCCTCCATGGCTCAGAGGTAAAACCTTTACATTCAACCCTTTGGTCATGGACAGTCTCATTCCAGATTTTATTGTTCCTGGGAACTAAATTAATTCCTGATGGGAGAGCTGATCAAATCAGTATGTCTTCAGCTTGATGAGATTTTAAAATTGGTCTTAAAAATAGTTCACAAATTCTTTGCTTTGGGAGAGTTTGGTCTTGGGCTAATGAGTAGTTAATAAGTGAGAGATACCGCAAAAAATCAGCACTATTTCCGAGTGCACATTCTGAGGAAATGGCCCTTTGTAGCCTATAAATCTCTAGCCAACTATCCAAACAGAAATTTGGAGGGATTCTTCCAAAACTTTGATTTTGTTAGATTATTAGCAAAAATGATCAAGCGAATACAGACCCATCTAAAAGAAGTCAATTGTATTAGAGGCTTTTGTGCCTGTGAGGCACATGTGGAATGGAAAATTTCACTCCTTCCTTAAGCAAATCGGTGCTGAAAACGTACACAGGCAAAAAGCAAGGTTGGGAGAGGGGACAACAGATTCGGGGGCTTTAAGAACTTAAAGCCAGGAAAGGTGTGTGTCCCATCCACAATGAGGGTCCACCTAACAGAACGTGGGCCCATACAGACCCATCTAAAAGAAGTCAATTGTATTAGAGGTTTTTGTGCCTGCGAGGCACATGTGGAATGGAAAATTTCACTCCTCCCTTAAGCAAATCAGTGCTGAAAACGTACACAGGCAAAATGCAAGGTTGGGATAGGGGACAACGGATTCGGGGGCTTTAAGAACTTAATACATGTCTAGGAAAGGTGCATGTCCCATCCACAATGAGGGTCCACCTAACAGAACATGGGCCACGCAAGGGCAGGCCGCTCTGGGCACACCGCGGGAGGGTCCTCGCGGACGCCGGGGCAGAACAGAGCAGACTGCACGGCGCACAGTCGGGACCAAGAACTACAGTAATAACACACTGGCTCTGTGTCAGGCTGCCTGGCATGGAAGGTGTGTTTCACCTCCGATCACGGGAACAATAGCAGCCCCTGCTCCTCGGTTTCCGTTTGACTTCTCCCAGGTTCTGGTAGAGTGAGATGCCTCTTGTCCCGGGCATCTGATGTCACACATGAACGTAACGAGTCAAGTGCCTCCTCTTCTGAATCATGCCTGGAGCTGATCCGCCCGCCTGCTAACCTTCAGCTCACCAAAGACGGCTGCAGCCTTCCTTGTGGACTAGGAAATCCCACGGTGCCTCTCTGACCGAAGGCAGAGCCCGCCAGATGATTTCACAGCCCGGGGTTTCCGCATCTCTCACGTGCTAAATAAATAGGAAGACAATTAAAGGCCCAGAAAACTTGGTGACCATATTTAATTTTTCTTGCCTTCCGTCTGAGGAGCAAGGGAATGCTACTGCCCCATAGCTGTTCGTATCTGTTTTACAAGATTTACTCATTTTCAGGTACCTAATGTCGCTGCTAGCATGCATGCACAACAATACAATTTATATGGTAAATGGGACCAAATCACGGCTTCACTGAATGTTATGGCTGCACTGAAGGGAAATGTCACGGTAAATAGCTGCCAAATTATGGATCATGCCGAAGTGTCACAACTGCACTAAAGACAAATGGCGCTGGAGGCTGTTGCCACCGCGGGCCCGTGAGTTATGAGGGAGGGTAGCGGCCTGATGCGAGGCTCTTTGTGTCCTCATTATAGCAGAGGGTTACCGGTGCAGGGGACAAGGGAAGCCGGTCCAGTGCGGGGCTTGGTTATTAATCTGTCCCTTTCAGCCCTAGCGGCTGTGGCAGAACAGAGAGGGACGCAGCCTGGCTTTCAGATACACAAACACACAAGGGAAGGGAACAAGTTTCACGAGCGTAACCACCGGAAATGGCCGGTCACGGAAAACAGTGTCCATCAGATCATCTCATCGGAGCATAGTATTAAATTGAACGCAGTGTGTGTCTGCTGGCTGGGTTGCTCCTTATGCAGGTAGACGTGTGACGTGGGGAATCTAAGCAGAAATGCACTGCTCCCTTTGTGGAGACTTGAGGGGGGAGGACATCGCCAACTAAATTGCTTCTTCTAAACTGAAGTGTGTCCCGGTTTCTTTCATTTTAATGGGAGGGTAATAAAGATGAAAGACCAACATTTTTACTGATGGACCCCTTAAGCTACAGAATAGAAATTTATTGTGTTTTTGAAGGAATACACTAAATTCAGCTATGTAAAAAAAAAAAAAAGTATTTTTTTTTTCAAACACCCAGGTTTGAAATAAAATCTAATCTGAAACCCTCATGTTTTCTCTCTCCCCAAACTAAGGAACCACAGCACAGGCTGTTTGCATTTAATCTCAGGAAACAAGCATGAAAGATTCCGCCCATTCAGATAATGCCAAAAAGATGTTTAAACTTTTTTTTTTTATTCTTCTGAAAAATGATTTGTAAATTGAGGGTCATAGTTCAGCACCAGTTTCATCTTCTGGTATTATCATTCAAGACTAGCCTCTAATGGGAGGTGAAGTGGTGCAAAGCTCTCAACACCTTTCTTCTGAACTGTATTACATATCACAAAAGTACATCCATAATTCAGGGCAATTGTCAGTCTTTGTTTTAGAGACAGGGCTGGGGCTGGGCGACCGCGCTGGATGAATTATTCCTTGGTTCTCAGGGTGGCCTCTTTGCACGTCAGCCTGGAGGTCTGGGGCTGGGCAGTTGGAGGATTTGCCTCTGGTTAGTGCACAGAGAGGAGGGATTCTCATCCCTCACCATTCCCTCGATTTCACATTTGTTTAGCATGCAAACACTACAACAGTGTCATTTCAATCCCTTTGACGATGACTTCTGCTGTTGACTGATTTCAGCATTTAAAAAAATAGGAATAGTTTACAAAACAACACAAGTTTTGCATGATCTGTTCTATAAATTGTTATTCTATGATTGCATCTGAGTGGGGTTTCTCAGGAGCAGGACCGAGTTCTGTAAGTGGAATTACGTTCAGTATTTATCTAATGAAAGTGCGGCGACAAGTAGCTGCTTGTGATTAAAATGAAAATCCCGCGTTATGTACTTAAGGAACATTCCTGCTAATGAGGATGTAATGTCCTCACACAACACAGCCCTTCATTCTATGTTCACGGCCACAAGATGCTGGAAACTTGACAGATGATGTCATTTAAGACACATGCCTGCCGTAGGGACCTGCTTTTTGGCTTCCTGTTTCTGGCTTTTATTTGGTTAACATTTCTAATGGCCACCTGACTGGTAGTGGGTAATGTTTTAACCCCTTTGTAGAATTCCCAATTAGTCCAAATTTACTACATTTGGGGCCTTCAGAATGGGGCAGGGAGTGTCAGTGCTGAGAATATTTTTTTTGATCACTTTACCACAAGGACATATGGGATAAATACCATCTTTTAGATTTATATAAAAACAGATGAGCACTGTGCGACTTCCAGAAAATATATGATACAGAAAGAGCAAACACAATCAACGGTAGGGGATCATTTCCTCCGGGTTCCAATACAAGTTTTATGAATGTGACCCAGATGCGAAATGGCCTGATTTGATGGACTTGTAATTACTGTTCCCTATACTTTCCACTCTCTTGTTTTATTAAATAACATTTGTTATTTATGGTACTTATTTAAAGACACAAAATTTATCTATGAAAACATGGTTAGTTCATTTGGGGGGCTTTTAGAGCATTGTGGTTTTTTTTAAATTGGATTTTCTGTAACTAATTTTTTTTAGTTATGGCCCAGAATTAAAGATTTAGCATCATATTTCAGAAGTCAAAACGCAAAACTCGGGGTTATCAATGTCGTTGGGCATTTTTTAACTTTGAATTGTTTTTCAACACCTTTATCATCATGTTATTTCAACTCATAAAAGGAGGAGGGTTCGATATGAGAACTGTATTGCTGTTATCATGAGCGAAGTATGGGACATTGGCAAAAATTATTTTTAAAACGCTAAGCAAAGTACATAATGAATATTTGACCGACATGTTTTAGTTCACATAACTCTTGACCTTAGAATTCATTGATATTCAAAGAACGCCAGACAAGGTGCATATTTCAGTTACGCGTGCTTGCGTGTTCTCTATCAGTCAGTCCTTCACTGGGTCTGAGTGGCTGGTGAGATGCAACAGACAAACCGTGGCCTGGGGTCCACACCGTCCTAAGCATCTACTGTTGACACCGGATGTGCCCACAGCACAGCTGCCCCGCTGTGCTGGCTCAGAGCGTCCTGGAGGCACAGCCCCTCAGTCCCTCAAGCAGTAGGGTGAGGACTGCATGGGGTATAGTTTGGGGAAACCAGCAAGTGCCTCATGCGCCTGGGGAGCCCTGAGCCAAAAGTGCAGAGACTCCAACGGCCCCCCAAAGGAAGCCTTTCCCTTGAAGGGCACTATCTGACATTGTCTTTCTGCCAACATGAAATTAAAATAATAATTAAAACACACCCTGCTGACTGGTGGTGGCATCCAACACAAAAAACAGAACTGTGCTTAGAGCTCAGGAAAATGTCCCATAAAATTGCCAGCTACTGTCGTGCGTTACCCCCTCCACATACACAGCTCAGCCGCCTCAGGGTGACTTGGACAACCAGCTTCCTTGGTCAGTGGGAGTCGAGGAGCATGCTTAGGGAATGAAGGGGGTCCCATTAAGGTCCCTTGCTTTGCCCTCTGCCCGCACCTGGGTGATCAGCCAGCAGAAAACTAGACCTGGAAACAGCCGGGGTGCTCTGTCCTTCCTAAATGAGAAGACGCAGTTGTCCTTTAAAAGGTAAAATTTGGGATTTAAGGGCCATCTAGTTCTGCCCATTTTGTTGAGACAGAAGCCGAGACTAGGAAGAGCAGGTGCCTTGTCCAAGGTCACTGGACCCAGAAATGGAGCTGGAGCGCAGATGTCCCCAGTGCCAGGCCATCTTTGTAGGACCCCCTTTATAATCCGCCAAGCTCCCTCGGCACGTGCCTGAGTAAAAGTGTCACAGAATAACAACTGGCCTTTATTACAAAGATTTTTGTGGATGAGATGATGACCAATC